TGCTAGGGCTAGAGACCAGGCCGAGGCTGTAGATTACCCACCAAGCGTGCTGACCTCACTCACATACCTTTGCTCACCTTAGGTCAGTATTACCTAAGCCTGCAGTCTTAGTACCACACCTGCAGTCTTGCTGATGGCAATTCTGACCCACGTTGTACTCGCCTCATGACTTTGCTCTATAAAACTTCCTTTCACAGACGGGCTGGCTGGCAGCCATCTGGTTCCCTCCTGCCTCTCAGGTGCTGCTCCTACCCCCCCAACCCCATTTCTACTCCCCATTCCTGTTCTCTAATACATTTTCTTACTCCGTCTCCACTGATCCTTAGAATCTGCTCTTTGACTTCAGGGGATACGAACTCTGCCTATTTGACATCTAGCATTTCCCTTGTATCATTCGCACAAAGAACCATCACCTTCTGACGTTTTTGTAAGCAAACTTGATTTGCTCTGAGACATGACCAAAAAACCCCCCATAAATCGAAAAACACTCTTAGAATATAGCATGTGCCTCCAGTGACCAACAAAAGAATTCTTCCCAGGAGCCAAGAGTAGGGTCAGGTAGCAAAGGGAATTATACGTTCTTATGAAAGACAGAAATCAGTATTGAATAACACAACACCATAAAACAAACAGAACCCTTTAAATGCTTTGTCCAAAATGAAGACCCACATGAATCTAGTCCTATCATCCTCTCTAATAGCATCAACATGTCAGGTTTGGTGTCTAGCATTGAATAGAACAGTAACAGTTCATCAGTTCAAAAACAAGAAAAAGAACGCCTACTTTTTTGTAAGAAAAGCATTTCCTAAAGTTCGCTTATTCTCACTGCTAATTATAATTTATATATAATACTATAATGTTTTGATTAACATTTAATTGGCTTTTAGGAATGAAGTTTAGAGAATGAAGGAACCAGTATTCTTTAAAAGCGAGGTAGAGAAACAAGCAACCTCTACACCAACCTGCAGGGGGAAGTTTCCCCGGGGTCATCACAGCCAACCTGTGGCAGAGGCCGCTCCACACCTGCAGAGCCCAGGGTGAGGGGCTTGCTCAAGGTCTCCAACCACATTCAGGACAAAGCCACTTCCATGAGGTAACTCAGGTGACCCCAGGTATCTTATTAAGCACTTGACTTTTATCAGCTCAACTTGACGAAGAACAGCCCAGTGGAGATTAGAGCCTAGATTTCAGATAAGGTGCTTACAAAGCTACTGACTCACCCAAGGTCATACCGAAAGACAAGAGCTGAAGCCATGACAGGAACAGGCCCGTTGCTCATGATAAAACTGCAAAACCCTCCCAGGCCACAGCTGCCTTTCTCTTTGCTCCAGTCCCCTGCCTTTTAAAGTCACACCCCCAGTTTTGCTTTAGTGACAGTGAAAATCTAAATGCTACTCAGACAATATTGCAAGCCAAATGCCGCAGCAGGAGAGGGCCCTGTGTTTGTCTTGAGTCAGGAGTAGAACTGGGAGGTGACAGTAGCTTGCGTCTTTGGAGAATGGTGCTCCAGATTCAGACTAGAAACTCATTTAGTAGTTGTGTGACACTGGACATTGCCTGCTCTACTCTCAGTAGAGTAGTGTAGATATTATCTTTATCTAAAGTAAAGATAATATCAGGATCTGTCTGTAAGTCTATAGTCAAGACTGTGGTAAGTCTGTGTGGGGAAGGTGACTTCCTCCTGGTCCTTACTACTGCAAAAAAGCCTTCTCCTCCCTGGGGCCAGCACCCATTGTCATGAGACTTCTCAATAAATAGGTATTGAGCTAATGATTATACATCATAAAATGTTTAAAAATAAATGCTTCATCTATTAAAGATCAAGGTACAAGACTATAGTAAGGGCTAAGAAACTGAAGAATTAGCTAGTTAGCTTTTTTGCATTGTACTAATTTCTTGCATCTACCTAAGATATTCCCCAAGATTAAGACTAAGAGAAAAGAGATGGCCCTCTTCCAGGCTGGATTTGTATAAACCTTTAGAACATTTGGAATACTCTAGATTTTCCTAGCTAATATTAGTAGTTATTGGTCCAAGCCACAAAAGCATTGTTTTTTGGTACCAGGGATCAATCTCAGGACCCCACACTTGCCAGGCAGGCACCTGTGCCACTGAGCTAAATCTCTGGCCCTGCAAAAGAATTGTTTCATCTTGTTCTCACATGTAAGGGCAAATACAGCTCTAAGTATATTACTACATATTAATGCTTATGTCAATCTCTTAATACGGTTACTATGAATTCTGTTGAGATTAAATGCCATATGTAGCACTATTTTACAAATACAATTGAAACTGAGTTATGGGAACTGACCAATATCACGAGCCCACTAAACATGAGAAGGAATAGTTCCCAAGACTCTTCCCAAGTTCCCCAGCCTACACATGTGCAGAGGCTGAGCACGGAATCCCAAGTCCTTTGACTCTAATGCCTTGGCCACTGCTCCAGATCTGTGCTCAGGTCACACCCTATACCTTTAGGTTGGCACTGTAACTGAGATCCTCTCGTTAAAGAATAAAAAGAATGTACTGAATAGTGAGATTACCAGACTTTGAGGTAATCACTCTTTCGCTTCCCGAAGGAAGTGGCAAAGAGCTCATCTGTGGAACCATTTTCGGTCACATTTGACAAGGTACTCAACTATTAAACGCTGTAAAGGCTGCTACGCCATTTCACCACTCTTCCCAGCCAGCCTAGCTCGTCACTTACCTGCACTGGGAAAAGGCCTGAATCCACTTTCTCTACTTCTCTGAAGGCCTCCACAGCATTAGCAAGACAAATCCCAATCCCAGGCAAGGGCAGATGGCTGTCCTGGTGCATGCATTGTAAAAGCCACTGCTCTGCTCACTCTGTAGGCACAGCACATCACCTGGAGGCGGTCTGAGGGCTTTCTGGTCTGCAAAGGCCAACACCGGAACTCATTCAGTTATGCTGGCAATGAAGGTCTATTTGCTTGGGTCTGTGTAAAGAACTGGAGATGCACAGTCACATGGGGCAACCTGATGATGGGGAAGGGAGCCCGGGACAAGCGATGGCACCAGAGACAAAGCAAAGGCACTGAGCACTTGGGGGTCATTCACTTTCTCCTCAGGCTTTTTGGATTACCATGACCAGCGCCTACTCCAAAGCACTGGCTCTGCCCTGCACCTCTTTGGAGGCTCAGCAGTAACTGAGACAGCCGGGCAGCCTCCTCCACCGACATCTCCAGCACACAGGGCACACGCATTTACGCCTCTCCTGCATCCACAAATTAAACACCTACCTGTGAACCTCCTATCAGCAGGCGCCATCCTGCCCATTGGAGCGGAATCACCTGATGATCTGAACCACGGATCTGGCTTACCTCACCTCGGTTAAGGGCTTAGAGAGTACTACTCTGGGTACTAACACCACTTTCTCCCGTCATGTGTACTTCTGGCTTCAGGTCTAACTAACTTCTCAAAAGGATCCTCAGCCATCCACATGCCTACCCACTGTGAGTTTTCAAACTCCAATTAAACACACAGGTGGTGGTGCCCTTACAAACCATCAGCACTTTATAAAACCACTTACATTATCAATTGCCCCTGTAAGTGGGTTTTCCTTAGAAACAAGCTCAAAAAGTATTTTTTTTTTAATGCCTCTGTTGTAGTGTGAAATGGGAAAGTTAACAGAATCAAAACAGTATAAGCGAGGACTTACGAAGGAAAGGTTCTGACTTACAATTACCAGCACGCAACTAATGGGAAAGAGTGGCACAGCCCCCCCATTTTAGAGGCCACCACTGTCTTATACATGAAACTTCCTGCAAGGTCCCTGCCTATCACTCTGCTGGATCTTACATTACCACCACTCTGCTCACCACACAACCAAAGCTTTCAAAACACGTGTTGCGACCCATCTCGTTTTGTGTCTTCACTTGGCTCAAGTTTGCTGAAGGTGCCTGCAGCTAACAATGACAAACAGGCTCCTGTCACCGGGCCTGCTATTCTCGAACACTGGAGGGTCTCTCTGGTTGTTTTGCTTCAGGCTGACACTGAGCTGAAGCCCTTCATAGACACTCAGCACTGTAGTTTACTGAGACCGCAAATCCAGATGGGAGACATTTCTCCATTTGCTCTGCAGATAAAACTGCTGTATTTAATAAGCAGTTTCCATAGTAAATTCAGTAAAAGGAAATAAAAGTCCTTTTGCTCATAGTCTGGCCTATTCATTTTGGCCCTTTTAAATGATCCCCAACATGTCATTTACCTACATTAAGCAAAGCTCAGTACACTCCGGAAAAATAAGAGCAGCCTCCACCAAAACCACCCAAGAATAAGAGCATGCTCTATTGGGCTTCCCTTTATTCCTCTCCTATACAGCGGGAACCATGATAACTTCAGTCTCCCAGCCAGGACTCCATGGCCTCATCATTCCTGGGCTCCCTGCAACCCCAGCACTGAATCTGTGCATTTAAAATTCTCTCAGGAGCCTGGCGACCAAGCCCATGCATTTGAACCTGGTGGGACTGTGACACTGACCAAGGGAGTGCTGGTGGCCTCCCACTTGCCACTATCAGATGCTGCATATGTCCCTCTGCCAAATGCTACCACCTGGATCCCTCACTATTTGGCAGGGACATCCTGCCTGCCCAGCTTCCGTTTCACATGGCGAGTAAATCCCTTTGTTGGGGCACCAAAACCCTGTAATACACAAGGAGTCCTGAAGACCAGCACTTCCCCCTGTAGACCTCGTGACAAGAGTGCAGTTTCTATCCATTTCTTCATCGATTCCATGGATCAATGTATCCTGGAAATTTACGTGCTGAAGGCAGTTTTCACAAACACTGAGCGTTTAGAAGAAATGAGTGATTAATTTTCATACAATATACCCAAGGCTTTTTATCCACTAAATAAATGCATCAAAATGTTTACTGCAAAATGCAAAGACGGGATCTGCCGATATTCTCAGAGAAATTACAGAAAGCTGCTTGAACCAGGGTGAAAAATGTTAGCAAATGATATACAAGTAGAAAAATATGTACATTCAGTGAACGCTAATAAGATGGTTTATTGGAAACGCTTATAACATTTTTGAAAAAAGCTTGACAGGTTTTATTTTAGTAAGACATAGTAAAGAGGAAATGGTTTAAAAGATCATCAATCTTTTATTTATCTAAGCACTGCCCTTCATTTTGAAGGAAATGATACAATGTCAAATTGGAACTTCCTTTTCAAGAAGTACTATAAGAACATAACTGATTTAACATATAACCTTCAAGAAAAATAAAGTTTATACAACTCATTGGGAAATAAAATGCACTGACGTCTATCCTGTAAGTTAATGTAATTTTCATGGGTCACCAGTAGTATAGCTAAGAACAAAATATAATGAAAAACCGAATAAACCAGTCATGTTTATAGTTAATTCTGATTTTAAAAAAAAACTCACAAAGGAAATCTAACTTTCCAAATTTATTTTATGACCATGATCACGCTAGACTGTATTAAAAAATAGGTTAGACAAATACATAATCATCAAGAGTCTTCAACACAGTGGATCCCATTTTTTTAAGAAAAAAAGAAAATAGAAAACAAGTAGTCCTTAAATTTTCTTAGCTCTCCATAGCATATGTCTTAAAAAAATTAAAGTTCTGCTTCCAAAAAATATGTTTCCATGTGGTCGCGCTGTTGTTCAGTGATGCTATCAGGGTCAGAAGCTCCAAACACAGGAGAAGGTCAACCACATTAATGTCTCATTTCTCAAAAAACTAAAAATTTTCTTAAAGTCTGGAATAAAGTTTTCTGAGAGGCATTTAGTGTTAAAGTCATTTTAAATTAAATGAGGAATAAAAGCTACAAAAAGCAGGAGTTCTTTCGATACAAAACATTGTATAGTCGAAGTTGTGGGCTCCTCTGAAATACATAAGCAGTCTCTATAAAATATTTGCTCAGTAAGAAAATAGAATTTGTCTGGTTTCCTTTCGCATATATTCCAGTCAATATCCTGCTAATCCCTGCCACAGCTTCTGAAGAATGTTGGAATCGATATTTCTTTCCTTCAAAGAGCATTCGTAATTCACAGTACAAAACTGTTCTAAAGTCTTATTCCTAGGGAAAAACAAAAATTATTAAATATACTTATTTTGTCCTAAAGTGCTGGATATAGCCATTGCCAGGGCATTTAAAAAAAATTACTTGTCCATAACACTGCCATCTTTAGGAAAGAACCATGAATTACTGATTCCCCTTTCTTGCAGCCCTTTCCAGGTAGCTGTTACTTAGTAAGCGTCTGACACCTAAGCACACACTCTGATCCTGTGTCTCAGAGTCTCCCTCTCTTGATATCTTGCAGAGACACTGCCACTGTGCTCCCAAAACCAGCATCTCCAACAGAGCTAGCTCATTTTTAAGCCTTGTAATCACACCTTCTCTAAAGATAAATGCTGGTCTTGGGTTGTATCTACTACAGCTCTTCCCCGGAGGCAGACGAACGATACAGGGATGCAGGAGCCGAAAAGGGGCTCACCGGTCCCAGGGCCACTCCCTGCCTCCTTACTCCATGGAGTGCGGAGTGCTCAATACTTCCAACTTGGCTAGCCCATGTCTGTCCAGGTCCGGCCTCCTGAAGGTCTCCACCCCATGTTTACCTTGGCCTGTCTCTTCATGGCCAAGGGAATATAAACACATATATTTGGGAGGCTGTGAAACAGGGCAAGCAGAACTACTTTCCATCAGGACATCAACTGTCTTCCCTGACCAGGGTTAGAATGTGGTTCACCTTGACAATCCAAGGCATGGCACCTGTGTGACATCACTACCAAAATCAGGGACACAACCAGACACCACTGAGGGCTTACTCGGGAAGGGTTTCCACGCTGAGGGAGGTGCTATGAAGATCCAGACTTTTAAAACTTATGGCCGCAATTTCCATGTCTAAAATAGGTAAATATATGAGAAAATCTTCCTAGTTTTGTTTGCTCTAGAAATTTCCAACCAAGAAACCCAGGGATGACCAGGGTTGCAGAGTGTTCAAACATAAGTCAATTTTAACTATAAAAATCAGGTCACAAAATGAACTGTCCAGTGTAGTTTACAGTAACTCCTCAAGAGGGGAGAAAAAACCCCTGCAGTTTTTACTCAGGCTTTGAGACCATATTGATAATGGGTGGCAGGGCAGCACTCTGCAATCCAGGGAACCCATGGGAATGGTGTGAGGACTCTTACCAAAGCACACTGAACCTGGCTGATCACACCAGGTGGCAGTGGAGACTCAGGTCATCTCTCCTAAAGGAAACTGCCCACCACACCAAGCCATGACACCCTGAATTAACCTGCAAGGGGGGGGGGGCTCTAGCAAAACAAGTAGCTTACCACTGAAATGTGTCTCACGCCCCAGGTTTTACAGCCAGGGAGGGAGGGTCAGGGAGATGGCCCAGTAAATGGAAGGAAACATTAAAAATTCAAAGGAATCCATAACACAGTTTTGATCACAAAAAGGGTTACCATCCCCAATCAGGATGGGACAGCACGGAGAGACTAACAGGACAGAGCAGCACTACTGAGCTGTCTCCCTAGGGGGCACCACGCCAGGTGGCACTGGCCATCCCCATCTGTAGACCTGGCCATGAACACAGACAAGCATTAGATTGGTGACACAGGGCGATCCCCTCCTGGGATAACAAATGACACTACTCCAAGTGCCTACAGCAGCAGGCAGAAAAACAAAGGAGGCCGCAGCTCAGGATCTGAATTGAATCCTTTCTGAGGCTGGCCTTTGACAGTGATTTACTCGGAACCGAAGGGGCACATGGAGCAGAGGCTCCCTGAGCAGCCAGCAGCTGAATTACTAGGGGATGGAGAGGAGGGAGGTAGTAAGTATCTGTTGCCAGAGTTTGTTCAACTATTTGTTACATTTAACAGGAGTCTGCTGCTCCCAGGCCTGATCTTGGATTCACCAGCCCTGCGCCCCAGGAATCCCATCTAATAAATCATACTAGTCTTCCTGATTCCAGGCCCAGCTCAGCAGAGAGAAAAGATAAACAGCTCTCAGGCCCAAGGTTGGGCCTCCTCACCCGCCTTTGGCCTTCTTACATAGAATCCTCAGAGCTCAAGGGCAAAGCAAAGCCAGAGAAGGCAAGGCAGACACAGACACTCTGAACTTTTTTTCAACCTTGCTTGCATAAGGGTCAACTTTGGATCCAAACTCGGCACAGATTAAGTCTCAAGTCCACGGTCTGCCCCACCACAGAAAGGAAGACGGAAAGGGGAAGAAAGAAATGCCAGCGTCCACCATAGGTGCTCCTACCTGCCTCCCTGTCCCCTTCCTCCTCCCCAGTCCATAGCCAGCCGACTGTGTTTAATCAACACTCCGTTTTCCAAAGGGCCCAGGAATCCCAGAGGGGGCCAGAAAGTGATCCGGGAGGGAGGGAGAAGAGGAAGGGGAAAGCGCTTGCTGCAAAAGGCTATTTTGCAACTCTGTGCTCAGCTCCAAAACCTTCAGTGTGGCTCCACATCTCTGTCCTCCTCCTCAGAGCCCGGCTCCCGAGGGTGCCTGGAAGGCGGAGTAGTCCGAGCTGTGCTGCTGTCGCCCTCATCTGGCTCAGTCGGGTGCAGATGCATGGCGAGCTCCTGCAGCACGGCAGCGCGCCCGATCTGGTCATTGCGCCGCTTCTCCATAATGAGGTCCTCCAGACTCTGGAACTCCAGCGTATGACTGCGCTGAGCCGAGAGCTGAATCTGCAAGCGGTAGGGCTGTTTGCCTATCCGCAGCTCCCCTCCGATCTTGAATTCTCGCTTGCCATAGCGGCACCAGGCGGCAAAGCTCTCCGAGTTGCGCCAGCTGAGCTCACGCTCCTTGGCGCCCACGTGCGCCAGCGCATTGCGCACTACCGCGCTGGGGCTCAGCGGCTTGTAGCGGTACAGGTCGTTCACCACGCGGCCGCGGCGGCCCTGGCTCGCGTCAGTCAGGAAGCTGTTGCTCACCTCCAGCCGGTGCAAGTGCACCACCTGGAAATTGCCCACGTACACTGCCCAGTGCGGGTACTGTGCCTGTGACACGAACTCCACCAAGTCACCAGGGTTGCACTTGTTGAGCAGGTTCTCCGGTGTGTAGGTGCTCAGCGCCGCCGAGCCGGGCGCAAAGCTCTTTTGGTAGATGCACTCATCCCGATAGAAAACGGAGCACTCCACCTCGTGCAGCCGCGGGTCGTAGGGCTGCGGCGGAGGGGGTTGTGGCCCGTCCTCAACGTCGGGCGCCCCACCACCCTCCAAACCCTGGGGCGGAGGCTGTGGCTCGGTATCCTCGTCGTCATTGGAGAAGATGTAGGAGACCCCGATGCGGGGCCCGTCGTCCCGGTCCACGCCGGTCGGGTCGGCGGTGGGAACTTCCTTGTAACTTAGGTGGGTCAGTTTCTCCACCTGGTTGCCCATCACGTTATGGTCTCTGGTTCAGGCGGCGGCGAGAGGAGCAGACAGCGGAGAAAGCGAAACTACCACTAGGGTCATTGGCACAGGTCCGCGGCCAGGGGCTCAGGCCACCTGTTGGAAGAGAAAGCAAGGAAGCCCTGGATACATGATCCCTTCCGGGAAAGAGGCGTTCTGTTCTCAAGAGGTGCAAGACCCGGCGGGAGCAGAGCACCTGGAGCCATTTTAGGGCGGTCTGGGCGGCAGGGCGCCCTCCCCGGCCTTCTCCACCGCCGGGGTCTCGCAGGAGCCTCTGCACCTCGGGCCGCCGCCGCCCCCGCCCCCGCCTCCGCCCCCACCTCCACCTGGCCGGGCACCAGCCCATTGCATCAGCGGCTCCAGCCGCTTCCGCCCGCGCCCTACCAGCCGCGCCGGGCCGGGAGGGGGTAGGAAAAGAAACTTTACTTCAGCCGCCCACCCTGCTGCCCTCCCGCCCCGGCCCTCACCGGAGCGGACGCCCCTCGACGCCCAGCCCCGGGGAGCCGCGGTAAGGGCCCGCGCGGGCCGGCAGGTGCGCCCCGCTCCGGATCACCTGCGGCCGCCCCTCCCCCGCGCGCCCGGGGCTCGGGTTACCTGCGCCGCCGCACGGCGGGAGGTGCAGGCCGCGGGCTAGGGGGCCCCGCTGCACCCCGAGACTTCTAGGGCGAGTGTGCAGGCGCCGGCTCCGCGCTCCCTCCTCTCCCGGCGCGGGCGGTGCCAGGGCTGGGCAGGGGGCGGCGACGCATGTCTCCCCCGCGGCTGCGTGGCGCCCCCAGACTTGCGGATCGGGGCGGGGGTCGGATCGACTCACCCCGCGCCGGCGCGCCCTGCTAGCGCGGGGCCCCGCTGCACACAGCTCTCGGGGGAATCGGGGGAGTCGGGCGCAGCGGCAGGCGGCACCCTCGCTTCCCGGCGGCGGCCTCGGCGGCGGCGGCGGCAGCTCCCACTCGGGCCGGCGAGCAACAAGCGCCGGAGCGGGAAGGACGGGATTGTAGATCCGGCTCCCGGCTCCCGGCTCCCGGGCGGGAGCGCAGCCCCTGGCATTTAAAGAGACAGTCACTCGCTCCCTGAGCTCTGGTCCTGCACGCTGGGCCCGGAGCCTCCAGGACCCCCGCCCACCCGGGCCGCAGGGCCCCGCCCCGGCCACGCCCCCTCCGAAGCCGATTTAAATCTCGTTGGTAAATGATTGTCCCGCGGCTGGGGCAGGGACCTGCGGGCTACCGGGTTTGCAGGGCTGAGGCCCAGAAGTTGGAAAAGGGCGCCTGCCCGCATAGCCTTGAGAGGGGAAGGGTTTTGTGTCTGCTTTTTTCCTATTTCTTTCCCTCGTGCTCAGAATAGCTGAAGAAAGAGGAACGGTTATTAGAGACTTTTGCTTCTTTCTTTTCTTGCTTGGGACCCTATTTCTTAATCTGAAGTTCCTACCGGGGCAGCTTCAGAAATGATTCTGTTTGAAATGGTGTCAGAATGAGTAGTGTGAAACTTTAGGGTGGAAAAAGGAAAGGAACGGTTTAAAACGAACAGAGTCGCCAGCTGGCACCTAAGACTGTGTTCTGTTTATTGAGTTGTCCCTCAAAGTGAGTACAAAGTTAATTTCATAATCTCTGTGATCCCCAGGGGCTGATTGACTTGCCTGGCAGTGAGAGAAAATCGCGCAGAAATAGCAGCTTTGCTTCTGGGTGGGGAACGAACGAAGGAGTTGCCTGATGTCCTCAAATTAGAAACAAATTAGCAGAGGCCCCTGGTGGACGGATTTCCTTCCTGCTGCGTTAGAGAGGGAGGTGACAGGAGGATTGCTTATTAACCTCCTCCACGAGGGTGTGTTATCCCCTGCTAGTTTCATTTCTTGTTTCTGAAACTAGATTAGCAAATTGGTTTTTGTTGCCATTGTTCTTGTTGTTTATACTTTTAAGTTGGGGTGGTGGCAAAGATTGACAACTCCACCTACAATGGTTAAATTTAGGAGACCCTCAAACCACTTGGTGGTGGATCTAAGAATGCTGCTACAGGCTGAACCCTGTTTTCCATCACTGTTTCTTTTGACTAAGTTTTTCTTTTTTCCAGGTAGCTTATTGTTTATTCAGTGTGTATATCAACCCATGAAAACAAGAATATACTAACACTACTGTGATCCTTTTGAGAGAAAAAAATCAATCTACTTTTGTACCTTTAAGCTGGAACAATCGATATTCTCAGGGCTGCAATGGAAGTTAGTCCTTCGGCCAGCCTGAGAGCACAGCACAAACCAGACCACGAGGATGCCCACGTGTGGCCCTCTGGTGGTTTTTAAGTATCTTCTGGCTGGCTGTGACGAAGGAGTCCCTGAGGGCCTTTTGGTCACACATGCTCTAGAATTACTGGTGTGTGTGTCAGCACGTGCAGATATTTATTTTTTATTTCTTTGACACAGGATCTCACTCTGTAGCTCAGGATGGCCTCAAAGTCACTCTGTTGCCCAGGTTGACCTCAAACTAAAATCTTGTTGCCTTAGTCATGAGCGCTGGGATCACAGGTGTTTGCCACTGTGCTGGCCAGCTACTCACTTTATAGAGAAGGTTTGTCAAAGCAATGGCCCATCATCTGGTCTGTCAGCCTGAAAACCTGCTGCTGTCAGGAGTGTTAGGCTACTTTGGCCTGTTTGGCTCAGGGTGTATTGGTGGGATCTGTGAGAATCTATAAAAGGGCATAAATAGTGTGACATTTTGCTGTCTGGGCTCAAGGTCAAAAATCTAGTGGGCCATGAAGCTACTCCAGGTTGAATGGCTGTCTCTGCTGTTGTCTTCCTGAGATCTGCTCAGGTGTACCATAGGAGCTTATTTCTTGAGCTGACCAGCTATGGAAGGTTGCAGGAGCTGATTCTGCCATCCTTCCAGTTGAATACCTGGCACTTAGTAGCTCAATAAATACTACAGGGTTGAGTGAAGGGAAACATTGCCCATAAGTTAAAAGTAATTCTTGGCTTTATAAGGTAATGAGTGACCGGGTAAAGAGGATGCATTTGTCTAGCTGACCCCTGTTCGGGGCCTCATCTACCCAGGTCCCTTGCTTAGGCTTTGTAACCTCTCTGTTGTCTAGCTGACGTGTTATCACTGGATCATGTATAATTCCACACAGACCCCTATATACGTGGTATTTTCTAATTCATGTATCTGAAATATCTTTTCTGGAAACAGTTTGGTTCAAAATATATTTCTTGAAGATATCTAGGCCCCTGTGAGTTTTACTTGCTGTACACATCATTCTATAAGTTTAGTAGCACTGGACTAATCATGTTGATATCCAGGTCCCCAGAGCGCTCAGCATTGTCGAAGAGACAGGGAACTAAATGGGCTTCTTAGGATGCGTGGAAATGCCCCACTAGCAGAGGAGACATAGGAGGCTGGCAGATCAAATGACTCCCAAGGCCTGTGGATGCCAAGGTGAAGGACCAAGCGCCTGCCAGCGGGGCCCAGGGCCCCAGGAGGGCAATGCAGCATTAAAATTAATACCCACCACAGAGCGAGCTTCGGATTCTTTTCTGAAGGAGAAGACAGTTTCGAGAGGCTGTGGCTTTTTCCAGCTGGGAAATGGGAAGATCATGCCGGCCTGCTGTACTTCCATGCCCATGTTTTAACCACTGGGTTTCAAATAGAGATGGGCACAGTACAAATATTTAACAAATATTTGAGCATCCAGTTTTACCAGGCTCAGGGCATAGAGTCACTGGGCCTAGCAGACAGAACACTGGTTCTCCTGGAATTTACCTTCCAGTGGAAGGGGAGAGGTGATTGATAAAAGGAATAAGCATATCTGAGGGAGATCAGGACCATGAAGAGAAGGGCCCTGTGGGGTGGCAGGCCTGGCACTGAGGCTGGAGTGCTGACTAGGCAGTGGCACTGCGGGTGAGCAGGCTGGGGGGCGGGCAGCCACATGAGGAGGGAGCCACGCTGGGGAAGGGGTGGGGGGGGGGTTAGGGAGAATTCTGATTGTGACCACAGGATGGCAGTGGGAGAGGGACAGTGCTGAGGGACACAGGCAGAGGTGGGCAGGCTCGTGGCATCCATGGCTGTCCCTCTGGCCACCCTGTGGGAAAGGAATTACAGGAGAAAGAAAGGAAATGGGGGCCACCTCGGGCCAGGCTGTGGGAATGAAAGGCAGAGGGGTGCAGGGAGCGAAAGCTGCCTCCCATGGCAGCTGCTCTGTGTGGAGATGTGGATGTGAGCTCTGCCACACTGCAGCCTCACCCCTCCCGCTGGTGACCCTGGGCTGCTTCCCTAAGGCAAGGAGGCTGCCAGCCAGCCCAGGCCCAGGCTGGCGAGAAGGAATTGAGAATTGATGTTTCTGCTCCACAAAGCATCAGCCTGGAAGGGACAGGTGTAGCAAACAGGGAGGCGCTCACATCCTAGAGCCCTCAGGACAGACGCTAGCAGAAGACAGGATGATCTGATGAAGCATTCTGCTCCCCGGGCTGAGCCCAAGGCTGGGCAGGCAGCTGATGCCCCAGGGAGGCTGCTGCAAATGTTTCCTCTGCACCTTCCTTGTGCTGGGAAATTTCCAGTCCCACCTGCACCTGTTACTCTCTGCTCAGCTTCTGCTGCGGCCTTTGGAGCGGAGGGTTCAGTACCAAAGTGGGGCCAGGAAACCCCCAGCACTGTGCTTTTCAACTGCTTGACCTTAGAGGCCCATGCTGGCCTTTGGCCTCCTCTGTAGGGGGACCGGCAATACTTTCATCTCACTGGAAATCTCTAGTGAGACCGTGTATGTGGAAGCACCATGTAATTCTAGGGCCCTGTAGACGCTGGGCATTATTTATACCTCATGTAAGAACCAGGTGAGGATCTGCTATGAGGAGTGGAACAGAACTCTTTGGCTTTTGCCGTACTCTATACTAAACCTACAGTCTTCACCCTGAGCTGTATCTCCAGTACTTTTTCTTTTAAACAACTGACTTGCTAAATAAATTGCCCAGCCTGAGTTTAACTTCACAACCTTCCTGCTTCAGCTTCCCATCGTGCTAGGATGACCAGGCCAGCTAGGGGTAATCTTTGGTTGTGATGGCATCTAATGCAAGACCCAAGGGAAGTCACGGCGAGTCCCCGAGCATGGTTAAAGGACAGTCTGGATTCAAATCCTAATCTTCTGACTCCATGGATGCTCTTCCTGCCGTGTTACACAGCCTTGAAGAGTGCCAGCATCTGCCTGTGTGTGCTGAGACCGTGGCTGGCAGATGCAGTGGCCACCCAGAGGAAAGGGCCCAGGTCTGGGCAAGCTGCTGCTGTGGTCCACGGGGCAGGGTCCTTCCCTGTTCTGGTCCTTGCTCCCCCTGCAGGCTCAGCTGAGGATGTTGCGGGGATGGAGAGCAGATGTGGGAGGAGGTCTCAGTGGTGGCTGGCCGGCAGGGACAGCATCCTTCACAAAGAGATCCCAATGTGACAGGTTGCTTGGGGCACTCATTTTTCTTCTTTGGTAGTTTTAAAATCATACTTTCCACAATCAGTGAGGGCCACGCCTTTCTCACCTGCAAGAGGTCTTGGCCTGCATGTAGCCTCCTATCCTGTCCGCCGCTGGCGATAAAACCTGCACAGAGCGATACTTTGTCCAAATTATTGCTTGATGCAGGATGCATCCTTGATAAAGATGTGGACAGATGCTGTGGAATCCTGCTTGCTCCCTTAGCATCTATGCAGGGTGGGCTGGAGGGAGTCTGCAGGACAGGTGGGGAATATGGGGGCCCCTGGAGAAGGGGCCTGGGCTGTAGCCCATCTCAGGCCATCAGTTCTCTGCTCACCAATCCTGTAGCCTGTATCCATTCCTGGAGGACTGCTCAGTGGGAAGTGCCTAGCCCTGTCTCTTGGACCCCGCTGGAGGCCTGCTGTTTCAGGGGCCCCTGCCATCACACTGTTGCTGCTGAGCTGAAATTTGATTTGTGCTCAGGAGTCTGAGCTGGTAGCTGGGCTCCTGCGGGAACCTCATGAAAGATGCATTTTACCAGGCAGTTCCAGGGGAGAGACTGGCTTAAATTACAGCTCTGCAAATCCAAATATTGGCATATCTGCAAATCCAAATGTGGGGATTGGGAAAAAATAAGTCGAAATTCTAAGAATCTCATTCTGC